TGGTGTGTGCATGTGTGCGTGTGTATTTGCCTCCCCGCTGCGTGAGCTGGGGCGGTGCGCGCACCTCTCCTGGCCCTTCTACGCCGCGACGCCGCGCGCGTGGCCGCGGCGCCAAAGGTGTGCGTGTGCGCGTGTGTCGCTTGCACGTCGCAATGTGCGATGCTTTGCGCGCTGCGCCTTCGACCGCGCTCGATCGCAATTCGCACTTCCATATGATGCCCGCGCGCGGAGAACGCCTGCTACTATCTTTTTGCTGGTGCGCGGCGCGAACACAGCGCATCCGCGCCCAACGCTGCAGGTGCCGCGGCGCGTGCGTGGCGGAACGCGTTGGCTGTCTCGTTACACCCATTCGAGCACTAGCCGGGGTGCGAGTTAGGGTGCGAGGGAGGGGGGAGGGTGGGGTGGGGGGCAAGAGGAGAAACAAAAACATAGAACATACCAATGCCGTCGGGGGGACGACGACGGTCAGATAAGTAACTACTATTGGGCGGCATTTCGGATAGCTTGGGCGTGGAAGTGGGTTCGTAGTATCGACATCTGCGGAGCGGAGAGCTGGCGGCATCGAGCCCCGAAGGGCTTTTGACTTTTCAACCGTTGTTTGCTCCGCCCAGTTCGACCGGGGGCGGCCGACCCTCCTACGCGTCCACCGCGTGGGTTGCTATGTGAGAAGATCAAATGTTACCCCCGAGCGGGGTGGTGGGGTTCAGCTCGGACAGTGGCGCGGTCGAGCAGCAATCTGTTCCTGGCGTGCGCTGCGCTGAACTTGATGATGGGTCGTAAACTCGTTCGTTCGTATTGGCTGTTGACGCACGCTGTTTGCATTCCAAAAGTTTGCGGGGCCCTTGGGGCTGAAAAGGCGCCCAGTCGACTCAACGTGCCATGCGCGAGCAGGGCTGGTTGGAGTCCGTGCAGAAGCTGGGATTTGACGACTGCGCCTCGCACTGGCAGTTTGGATTCGGTGGAGCAGCTGCTGTCGCCAGACCGAGTCCATTGTCTTGAAGCGTGGCCATGACCGCCCCAATTCGGGATTGAACTTCCCGCGTGATGTCGCATGTTTCGCTCAGACGGCACCCCAGGTATCTTGCCCCGCTCTTGCGTTTGATCAAAGTGCCATCAGCAAAACGTGTATGTTGAGATGGTTGTGGGCTGCGACTACCTCGCAGTGCTCCTTGTTCAGTTTCATTCCACACCCGGCCCCTTCGCGTTCGATTGCTGGCAAGACCCTGTACAGTGACCTGGTACCTTTGGAGACGACAGCTGCGCCATCTGCGTAACGAACTTCATCGGCATTCGCCCCCTGTTCCCTGTGTCCCGCTACGAAGTTGCCAACGGCCTGGTGGACACCGTGGAACATGACAGCCTGGCTGCCAGGAACAAGCAAATATGGCGATAAGGGAGCATCCCTGCCGGATTCCTAAACCCCGCGGTTTCCAATCGGATGTCTGGCCGTCGTACTCAGCTTTTAATTTGGGGTCTTGCTGCAATGGCTTGATGACTCGTTTCAACTCTGCAAGCGCTTCCATCCTCTGCAATACCGAAAACAAACTGTTCCGGTTGAGTTTACCAACGGCTTTCTCCAAATCTATTAATACAAGAAAGGCATGTTTGCCTGCGGCACTGGACGCGCAGCGCGTGGCTGCCGAAGTGAATCGTTTTGCTCGAGGTCCGAACTGGGTCCGCTGCACGCGTGCCTCCAAGCCTGCCGCTAATCGTTTTGCGTCAGCAACGCGTATACGTTGTACGTTGTGCGCAAGAAAGACATCGGCCTGCAATTGGCCAGATTGCTCGCGCCTCCGTCTCTGATAATCAGAAGTACGCGAGCCTCCAAAACATCTGCCGGGGTGTGTTCGTTGCCCCACCATTCGTTGAGAGGGTTAAGGTCGGGTCCCGGGTGCGCTCTGAGAGTGCCCGGGATATCCCCGTGGGTATGTCATCGGGTCCCGGGGCCTTGCGGCGCTTCAGCTTTGTTTTTGTCGCCGTTAGTTCTTCCTTGCGCGGGGCCACCAGGCACGCGTGAACCGGCGTTGCGACAACTTGGGCACTGTCGCCAAATTTGTGGCCACTTCTTCCGCCATTTGGTTCCGCGGTTCAGGCGCGCCGTCCTTCCTTCTCACATGGTGCGGCTGCGGTTGGTAGTCCTTCTGAAGACTCCTGCTCCTCGCGCGCAGTGATCAGCGCGTGCTGCCTCTTATTTTCTCGGCTGCCGCCGCGGAACACCTGTGTCGGAGCCGCGAGACATCCCATTCGACCGGCGGCCGGCACCCTGCGCCTTTGGTCAAGAGCAGATTCGCCCTGGCGCGAGATGGTGTGGCGTTGGGCTCTGCGTCGGCCCCTCGGAAGAGAAGCGCAGGCTCGCTTCGTGGCGTCCCTTAGCTCCTAGTTGTCCTTCGCTGCCTGGCGGGGGCAGTCGTTGACTTTCGTCCGTTCTTGCATGTTGCGCTCCCTGTGTTTAGCTTTGCTGAGTCAGTGCGACTTGCCGCTGGCTTTCACTGGATCCTGATGGTAGCATTGAGTGGGTAGTGATCGGATGTGACGTCGGTCAATGCGTCTCTGTCTCGCAGTCCAGGAAATAAGTTTGCCATCGTTGCGCGGTCCAGAAGCAATCGAATTGTTCATGCGTCCCTATGATGAACGAACTGAGCGCGAACGCAGCGCGGGCGGCGGGGCCGCCAGCGGCGGGGGCGGGGGGGGCGCCCGCAGCTGGCCCAGGAACACCGGCCTGCGCGGCGCCCGCCAGCGGGAGCGGCCCGCTAGCACGGAAAACAGGACCGCCTGCCTCGAATACTCGAGGGCCCTTGCCGCGGACCCGACGACGCGCCAGCGAATGAAGACGGCGATCCTCTGACTCGGAGTGCGTCGGCTTGGGCGCATTGCCCGTGAGGCGTGGGTCCCGCGCAACTCCTCGATCTCCGCGCGGAGCCAACATGGCAAGGCCAGATCACGACGCGCTCGCGCCGGAAGCGGGTCAGCGGTGAAGGATACGAGGAGCTGGCTCCCCAGCTGCCTCTTTGGCCCCGTTGATGGTGACACAAGGGGCCATGGTCACGACGGCGGCTCGAACGGAGACAGCACACCACCAGCAGGCACGACTCGAACAGGGCGAGGATGACGCACGCCGCCAAGACTCCTTCCCGGACGGGCAGTCCCACCCCGACGGGATGTTCCAGCCGACGAAAAGGGAGCAGCGACAACGGACGCCTGAGCCGCAGGAGCCGACGGCCCCGGGGGCGGCGGCGGTGGCGGAGCGCCCTGCACCACCAGACACTGGCAGCGGCAAGTGACGTTCCTCGGCGGCACGCAGTTGCACCAGTCGGCGACCGCCACAGAGCTCGGGGCCTGCAGCGCCGACCGCCCAGCCGCAGAGTCAGCCGTCCAGCCAGAGAGCGAAGAGGTTACGACCGCAACCCAGGCGACGAGGGCGGCCTGGGATGGCGCGCTGGCCATCGAGCGAGGACCTATGGTATTTTCGCTTGGGCCCGAGCGGTTGCGGAGAGGCAGCGCGATGAGCTCAGGCCTGGGCGCGACATCCAAAACACTTGTTTGTTTCACCTCATTCCCGCGCACGCACTAACAGTGGTTGCGTGGCTGTGTGCCTCTATCAGGCTCACCGCACAGCAGTGCCGCGCCGAACCGAGCCGGTGCGCGTACCTCTCCTGGTTTTTCGATAAACGCCGCGGCACCGCGCGTGCGCGCGTGTGTATGTATGTGTGAAGATGGATGTGCTTTCATGTGTGTTTGTGCTTGTGTGTGTGCGTGTGTGTGTGGTGTGTGTGTGTGTGTGTTTGCTTGTGTGTGTGCGTGTATGTGTGTGCTTGTGTGTGTGCTTGTGTGTGTGTGTTTGTGCGTGCGTAAGTGCGTGCGTGTGTGTGTGTGAGGTTGTGTGTATGCGTGCGTGCGTGCGTGCGTGCGAACGTGTGTGTTTGTGTGTGGTGTGTGTGTGTGTTTGTGTGTGTGCGTGTGTGTAAGCGTTTGGTTGTGTGTGCGTGTGTGCGTGTGTCTGTGCGTGTGTGTGTGTGTGTGTGCGTGTATGTGTGTGTGTGTGTGCGTGCGTGCGTGTGTCTGTGTGTGTTTGTGCGTGCATGCGTGCGGGCGTGCGTGCGTGTGTGTGTGTGTGTGCGTGTGTGTTTGTGTGTGTGTGTGTGTGTGTGTCTGTGTGTGTGTGTGTGTGTCTGTGTGTGTGCGCGTTGGTGTGTGTGTGCGTGTGTGCGCGTTTGTGTGTGTGTATGTGCGTGCGTGCGTGTGTGTGTGTGTGTGTGTGTGCGAGTGTGTGTGTGTGTGCGTGTGTTTGCGTGTGTGTGTGTGTGTGCGTGTGTGCATGTGTGTGTGTGTGCGTGTGTGTGTGTGTTTGTGTGTGCGTGTGTGCCCGTGCGTGCGTGCGTGCGGGTGTGTGTGTGTGAGTGTGCGTGTGCGTGTAGTCTTTTCCAGATTTAACCTTTAGTACAAGTCTCAGATGTGTACTCCGATCATCAATTTAGCGATGTTGTGCTCTTGGGGAAGTCTTGGGCTTAAATGCTCGGGCTCAGAGGCTTGGGGGACACCATCCGTATCTAGATGGTGTCGGCGGGTCGACACACAAATGCGTGTGTGTCTCGTGTGTTTTCTTGCTGCCGTTTCATGAGCAGGCCTGTTTAGGGGCAAGGGCCCCCCGAGTCGCCGCGGCAGCTGACCGTGCTGAAAGTAGACTCGCCCGGGCGGGACAGGCAAAACTCATGATGGTCTACAGTCGACGTCTTCGGTGTTGTTGATTCCCCTCACTGTTGCTGCTCCGGTCTGTTGTGAGCCCCAGGGAGAAAGCAGGAGGCAGAGGGGGACAGCATCATCAAGAGAAGAGATTGGGACCTCTCTTCCCTGTTGTGTGTCTGTCTGTGCTTGTGTGCTTGTGTGTGCGTGTGCGTGTGCCTCCGTCGGGCCTACCGCGCTGCAGCGCCGCGCCGAGCCGCGCCCGGGGGGCCCCGCTTCGCCCGCCGCGGGAGGCGCCCGGCCGCTGACCGAAGGGGCGGTCACAGGCGGTCCAGCTCCTGGCAGGAGCGGTCAGCATGGAATCGGGAAATCGGATCGGATCGGAGTGCGCTCCGGGCCGGGCCGCACCGGTGCGGAGTCGAGATCGGATCGGATCGGCCGCGCCAACATGCACAGCAGCGCTCTGCAAGCGTCGGGCCGCACCGGATCGCCAGAGCATCGAGTAGGCCGATCGCCAGAATCGATGTCCAATCGGACCGATCAGATCACAATGGACCCTGCCTGGTCCCGGTACTGCAGCGGGACGTAGCCCTTGTCGCGGCCGTCCGCGAAGAAGTGGCCCCCGATGCCTGGGGGCAGAGCCCGCGCGAGCGCCAGGAGGAGGGGGCGAAGCCGGGCCGCGTCTGGGTGCGCCAGCTGCAGGAAGACGCGGGTGGGCGGGGGGGGGGGCTGCTGACCAAGGGCCCAGGGCGGTGCTGGCGAGCGCACTGCGAAAGAGGGGCTGGATGCGCTGCAACAGGCGGCGGGAGGGACCGTCGAGACAGCGGCGGCCCTCCCTGCCATGTTTCGTACCTGTGAGCCACCTGGATGCTCCGAGGGGATCCGCCTCTAAAAACTAGTCAGGATGGACCCGGGAGGGATGCAGGAACCGATTCTGGCCGCCAGCAGCAACAATAATTTGATTGCATCTTGTGCATCAGCGACAACAAGTGATTGCATGTTCTGCATCCTCTCTACAAGTATGCGCTTGTCGGCGCCTTCTTCCAATTATAGTGTTTTCCTTCTTTATTGCTTCGAGGACATCAGACATCCTGTTGCAGTCAGAGCCGACAGGAACCGATTTTGAGTGGATTTGGCCTGGCGGGAGAGCAGCCGTTGTCTCAATTGGCCGTGCTACGATATGAAGGGGGAGGGCCAAGGGTCTAGAGAGCTCGACAGGACGTGCTCAAGACTCCCCCCTCCTCTCTTTCGGCGGCGAACGAGGGGGGAAAATGAGAAGGAGAAGGCCTTCTCGGAAGGCGGCGAGGCTTCTCAGAAGCCATCGCGCCTTCTGAGAAGCTTCCTGTGTCTTCAGTCGGGGAGACGTGAGACTCGGGTACGGGGGACTCGGGTTGGCCTGACGGGGCCATGATGAAAATGACGAGACCCGATGTGAATTTGACGCGAGCCCCCGCTGCAGACATCCCACGAAAACTGGACCGTCAAAATCCAGGACGCGCTCGTCAAACAACTTCGGCGAATCCGAGTTCCGGCTTACTCGAGTCTTACGTTTCCCCGATTCAGGGGAAGGCTTGAACAACTTCTCAGAAGGCCGAGGGACTTCCCAGCCGTGTGAGAAGGCCCGCCCCTTCTCGCTCCGCCTCCCAGGCTCGCCGCCGACTCTCGTCTCCCAATGCTTCCCAACTACGGTCGGGACATCCGGTAGTCGGCAGCTTAGAGGGCCGTTTCACGATGCCTGAGGTCACCTGCCAGTGAACATATCCGACTCAACACTAAGCTCGACTCGAGGGCCTCGCTGTCACGCCCCAGAGAGTGTTCCCAAGAAGGGCTAAGATGCTTCAGAGCTGAGATGCTTCAGAACTTTGGGAAGAGGCTTCAGATCTTCTGTGGGTCCCTCGGGCCAGTGGGGGATAAGACATTTCCGTCTGGCACCTGCGGGCAGGCCGATTTCTTATCTCATGTGCCTACTGCGTGAAAGGGGAGGGGGCCAATGGTCTAGAGAGCGTCCAGAGAGCTAGGCAATCCATACGTACTTGGGATTCCCTCCCGATGCTCATCAATCCCGATGCTCATCAATCCCGATGCTCATCACAGGTTCCCTCCCTTCCCTCCCGCCTCCCGACGCTCATCAATCATGCCTGTAGGAGATGCCGACGCCGTCGCCATCGATGGACGTCAGCCCGCGCGACCACCGAGAGGCCGCTGCTCGCCGAGGGCCACGGGGCGAAGACCCTGCCTTGCCAGGCTCGGTGCGGGCTCTCGCGGCCGTGCCCGCCCCAAGCGGGGAACATCACAGAACGCTGCGACGACCAGCAGATGCCGCCCCCGCCAAGCGGCCCTCCGTCCTCGTGCTCGTCGCCCCCCAACCTCGAGCCATCTGGTGCCTGCCGCTGCTCCTCCTCCCCCTCTGTTTGGCTCCGGCTCCTGCCGGTGATCCCTCTCGCGTTCCAGCTTCTCCGGTTTCCTCGTCCTCGCCCGCGTTCTCCTCTCCGTCGACGTCTTGTTCCTCCTCCTCCTCCTCCTCCTCCTCCTCCTCCTCCTCCTCCAGTCGACACTGGCGACACGAACTCGAAAGGCGCAACCCAGGACAGGGGGAGATGCAGAGGTCAAGAAGAGGAAAGGAGAAAGGGGGAAAACGGAGGGCAGAGCTTCGCGGAGCATGCCAACAGCCTGAGGACGAAGATCGGCACGCTGAAGGAGCAGGCGAAGAAGGGCCAGGACTCAGACGGCCAAGCAGCTCGCGAAGCCACGGCGGCGGAGGAGGCCGCGCTCAAGGAGCTCAAGGGCCTAGGCCCCCCAGCGCCCGCCCTGTCCGAAGCGATGGTGGAGTCCCTGGCGGCGGAGGAGGAGGGCAGGGTCAACCGCACAGCGCTGGAGGCGATGAAGGCGGAGTTCACAGACCAGCCACCACAAGAGGTACGACTACAGTGGGGGCGTTGACCTAAGGAACGCTAAATCCGCCGATCCGGCGTGTGAGTTTCAAGGAGTCTCAGCTACAGCCTCGAGGCTGAGCTTCAGCCTCTGGGGGGGTCGCCGGGGTGGCTCTGCCGGGGAAGGGGGGGTGGGGGGGGGGGGGGGGGTGCGAGTTTCCGGCGAACCCCGGGGCCGCTCCGGGGGAGTGGAAGATAGGGGGGGGGGGGGCGCCATGCTCCGCTTTTTCCGGCGCTTTGGAGGAGGGGGGGGGCCCAAGAGACCCCCAAGGGGTTCCAAGAGGGCCCCGAGTCGCCGAAAAATCGCTCCAAGACGCCCGAGATGGCCTCCAGACGGCCCAAGGTGTCTCCAAGACGCCCCAAGAAGCTTCCAAGAGGCCTCCCAAGAGGGCCCCAAGAGGCCAGAATCGTTGATTTTCATTGGTTTTCTCAGGGTTTTTAGCGTTCTTGCCTTTTCGGGCGTCCGACGCTCGAAGACGGCCCAAGAGGCCCCCAAGTCCGTCCCAAGACGGCCCACGATGCTTCCAACACGGCCCAAGAGAGCCCCAAGACGGCCCAAGAGGGCCCCAAGACGGCCCAAGAGGGCCTCTGGACAGCCCAAGAAGGCCCCAAGAGAGCCCCAAGAGGGGCCCAAGAGGGGGACCACGAACCGAAAGAACCGAGCTTTCCGCCCCAAGAGGCCCCCAGGAGGCCCCAAGAGACCCCCAAGGGGCCCCAAGAAGCCCACAAGAGGCCCAAAAGAGGTTCCAAGAGGCCCCAAAACAGCTCCCCAGAGGCCTCCAGACTGCCTCCGGCAGGCCCCCGGTTTCTTCCGCGGCACCGCCCAGGGCGCCACCGGCAGGATGTCCTCCGTCTCATCGTTTTCCTTCAAGTTATCGCCTCTTCCTCATTCTCCTCCTCCTCCTCTGCGACCTCACTCCTATCCCTCAACGATCGCGTCACCGAGTGCCTCTTCTTTGAAACATCCTCGCTCTTCAAACGCACATCCATACACACATGCATACATACCTACATTTAAACACATTTGCATACATAGAAAAACAATCTTCCAGACATACATACTTACATTCACACACATACACACATATTATCATACACACATACAAACATACATACAAACTAAATACATACATACGCGCACAAGCATACATACATACATACGTACCTACACACAGGCACACATGATCAATGCATGCATACATGCATGCACGCGTACATACACACACATATATCGTGAAACTCACCGCGTGCTCGAAACTTGAGAGAGACCGCGGGAAGTCGAGAGAAGCCGCGGAACGAGGCCTCTACTACTACTACCACTACTACCACAACCACTACTACTACTACTACTACCACTACTACTACTACTACTACTACTACTACTGCTACTACTACTACTACTACTACTACTACTATACTACTACTAGTACTACAGGAGCGTTTCCCAACTAGTATGTGTGTGTGGGTGATGCTGTGTGCGCATGTCTGCGGCGCAGGTTAAGTGGTGTGACTGTGTGTGTGCGTTTGAGTGTGCGCCCATAATTTCTGCGTCTGGAGAATAACCCCGAGCGACCCGGATCGGCGGCACTGGCCGAAGGCCACTACAATAAGGAACGAGGCCCCTTTTTCCCATCAGTGAAAGTTCGATTCACCATCGAAAACCAAAGGAAAACCTAAGGCAAGCTGTCAAACAATCAAGGAACACGAAGCCCCTCCCCAACGAAAAGGGTTCCTTCTTCAGGGCCCCGGCTGTATGCAGGCTAGAGCACTGCATGGACGACGAGATGATCGAGATCGTCTCCTCGCTGGACGACGCCGGCAACGAGCGGACCATCATGGAGGCGCTCGGCGCGACGGGCGCCCAGGTCACGCAGGGCCGGGCACCGAGTGGCTGCCTCGAGGACGAGACCTCGGCCTGGATCGACGTGCGGAAGTCGTGAGAGACTTGGAGTGCGCAGGGCAGTTTCGCTAGCCTGCGCCCTGACCTGGAGGGAGTCCTCCTGTCCCTGTCGTCGTCAGGAGAGGGCGAGGAGTTTGAAGAGTGATGTGATTTCTGTGTTCGATGTTTGCACGCTCTGCGCTAGAGGCCATCGAGCTTCGGGCAGTGCAGCCGTGCGCACCTGGCATCGAGCAACACGTAAGCGGGTGTGGACTGCGGACAGGTGCAGAGTTTCAGGCCCAGTTTTACCTAGACGGGTGCTTCTCTCTCGTGTGTAGGCAAGCGAGTTTTTCCAATCGAGATTGGAATACATGGATAAAATGTCCCACAGCCGTGAGCAGCAGCAGCTCCTCCTCCTCCTCCTCCTGCTCTTCCAATCCTCCTCCTCCTCCTCCTTCTCCTCCTCTTCCAATCCTCCTCCTCCTCCTCCTCCTCCTCCTCCTCCTCCCCTCCTCCTCTTTTTCCTCCCCCCTCTCATCCTGGTGAGCCGCGCGCCTGCCTGGATAACCATAGCCACCATGGCGCTCGCCTGTGGGCGGGCGTCTTACTCTCCCAGCTGCCGCGGCCCGGCCGGGCGCGAGAGGCGCTGGTGCACGAGAGGCAGTTCCCTCGCTGCGCCGCTCTCGCGCGCCCGCCCTCTCGCCGATCGCCTCGCCCTGGTGCGCACCGCCATCGGCCCATGACCACATGAGGGGATGAGAGCAAGGGCATTACTCGAGATGGCATAGCGACCTCATGCCGCGGCCTCCCCTCCTCCTCCTCCTCCTCCTCCTCCTCTTCCTCCTCTTCCTCCTCCTCCTCCCTCCTCTTATTCCTCCGCCTCCCTTTCCTCCTCCTCCTCCTCCTCCTCCTCCTCCTCCTCCTCCGCCTCCCTTTCCTCCTCCCTGCGGGCCGTTAGCGCGGCACGCTGCATTGGAAACGAGGGCGCTGACGCGCCACCTCACGCGGGCAGCCTGCGCGCGAGTGTCGGTGCAGACGACCCTTTTTTCCCCAACCATCCTGTGGTGTTGGGTCCTCGTTTTGAAGGTTCCCGCGTTCTCCTCCTTCTTCCTTCCTTCCTCCTCCCACCTCCTCTCGCTCCTCCCTCCTCCCGTCACCCCCTTCACTTTGGCACACCTCTCACACGTTTCGTGGCCTCAAGAGGAGCTCCACCGAAGGCCCCAATGCCACCGTCCACATGCGTCCCCACACCCATGTCGGCACACCCCTCACACATTCGGTGGCCCCATAGGGAGCTCCACCTAAGGTCCCAGTGGCGCAGCTCGCATGGCGCCGCCGCCCCATTTTGGCACACCCCTCACAGGGTTCGGGCCCATTGGGAGCTCCACCGAAGAATATATTAACAGCTGCGGTACTCACACCTGCATACGGTTGGGTCCTTAGCCACGCTAATTTTCTGCGTCGCCCACGTGGGTGATTCCAGAAGTAATGCAAACAAGCATGTTGACGTCACTTCTGTGGGGCGCAGAAGGTCGTGCTGGTACTGTGCGCCTCCCTTGGAGGCGCGCGTCCCGACCGAGCAACTAGTACAGACATCGTATTATAACCCGTTACGTGAGCGCTATGGCCAGAAAGCGCCCGCCACCGAACATGTACTATAAGATCTCTAAACGCACGCGTCGCTCCTGGGGCGCCGACGCACGCAACGAAAAGCATGTTTGAATGATTAGAGAACGAACAACGACATAAACATAAACCTTTGGAACTCCGCGCGGGCTTTTTGGATCTGCGCTGGGCCCCTCCGGCGGTGCCTCCAGAGCCGCCCCTGGCGCGCTCCGCGTGCCAGGGAGGGGGGGTTCAATGCCGATCCAAGAAACCCGCGCGAAGTTCCCGAACAAAAATTAGCCTGGCGAAAGACCCAACCATATGCAGCTGATAATACCGCAAATATTCGCCGGCCCAACGGGCCTGAGGCGTGCTAAGATCTCCGGTAACTACTTAACAATATTTCTAGTTCGCGCGCGCGGGGCGACCCCCCTGGGGGCCCTTGGACGAAAAATACCCCGGCCGATCCCCGGCTGGGACCCGGGCAATCCCCAAGGGGGGGGGTATTTTTCGCCACGCCTCACGAGGATCGTGGCCTCCGAGGGGGTGGCTGCAATCGACTACCCCCCCTCCCGCCCCAAGGGGCCCCCAAGAGCCCCCTTGGAGGCCCCAGGGGGGCCCAAGACGCCGCCAAGGAGCCCCAAGACGCTCCCAAGAAGCCCCCAAGAGGCCCCCAAGACGGCCCCAAGAGGCCCCAAATAGCGCTCCAGGGCCGGCGGAATGAGCGAAACAATTGAATGAATATCATTCTCGCCCGCGCTCCCTATGGGGCCACGAACCGTGTGATGGGGCGTGCCGACATGCGTGGCGGGGCACACAACGCGAGCGAAGACGTTAGGTCTGTGTGCGAGAGACTGAGAGCGCGTGAGATTGATTGTGGATGAGTCTGCGCGCGCGTGAGCCTACGTGCATAAATGTCGACGCCCATGTCGGCGCGCCTCTCACGAGGATCGCGCCCCCTTCCTTCCCGTGCTTCTCCTCCCTCTTTGCCCGTGCACGCCCACGTCCAAGGCTGCGGGCGCGGCGCCGCACGGAGTCCCCGCGACGCGCGCTGGTCGCCCCGAAGGGGTCCCGGCGACGCGCGCGGGTCGTCCGCTGCGCGGAATAGAGCGAGCGAGCAGGCTGGCTCCCGCCGAGGATGCGCGGCCCGAAAGCGGCTTCAACACGTCGAATACGACGAGAAACCTCGACAAACCAAAAGTCGCCGCCATGCGGGCTGCGCCACTGGGCCGCCATGCGAGTTCCGCCACGGAGACCTTAGGTGGAGCTCCCTACGCAGCCACGAAACGTGTGAGGGGTGTGCCAAAATTCGGCTGCGCCACTGGGACCTTAGATGGAGCTCCCTATGGGGCCACGAAGCGTGTGAGGGGTGTGCCAAAATGGACCAGCGGCGCCATGCGGGCTGCGCCATTGGGACCCTAGACGGAGCTCCCTAAGGGGCCACGAAGCGTGTGAGGGGTGTGCCAAAATGGGGCGGCGCCGCCATGCGGGCCGCGCCGCTGGGACCTTGGAGCTCCCTATGGGGCCACGGAGCGTGTGGGCCACGAAGCGTGTGAGGGGTGTGCCAAAATGGGGCGGCGGACCTTAGATGGAGCTCCATATGGGGCCACGAGGCGTGTAAGGGGTGTGCCAAAATGGGGCGGCGGCGCCATGCGGGCTGCGCCACTGGGACCTTAGGTGGAGCTCCCTGTGGGGCCACGAAACGTGTGAACGGTGTACCAAAATGGAGCGGCGGTGCCATGCGGGCTGCGCCATTGGGACCTTAGGTGGAGCTCCCTATGGGGCCACGAAGCGTGTGAGGGGTGTGCCAAAATGGGGCGGCGGCGCCATGCGAGCTGCGCCACTGGGACCTTAGGTGGGGCTTCCTGTGGGGCCACGAAACGTGTGAGAGGTGTGCCGAAGCAGAGACATGCGGAGAGCAAAGGCAAGGAGGGGGAGGAGGGAGGAGGAGGAGAGAAGGAGGAGGAGGAGGAGGAGGAGGAGAAGGAGGAGGAGGAGGAGGAGGAGGAGGAGGAGGAGGAGGGGGCGGAGGAGGAGCAGATGGAGCAGATGCGGAAGGACGCACGTCCCCTGTCAGCCCCTGGCGGCAGGAGGGCACGAGCCTCCGCCGCCAGGGAAGCGACAGCCGCGGTGGACACGAGCCACCGCGGCCGCTCGGGCGCGCCGCAAGAGGGCACGAGCCTCCGCGGGCACCCAGGCGCAGGAGGAGCACGAGCCTCCGCGCGAAACGGAGGCGCGGAGGAACACGAGCCTCCGCGCCCAAGCATTCGACGCGCCCTCAACACGGGGCCGCCTTCACGGCCGAGAGGTCCAGCTCCTTCAGAATCACCTGCTGCTCGTGCGCATCCAGGGCCGACACCCAATCGACCAGCTCCTGGCAGGCGCTCTCGAAGGAGGCTTCCGCAAGGGCCAATGCATGTTTGGCCATCTCGACTCTCTCGGCCGCCTGGTTCACGACGCCGCGCTTCGTGACGTACACGGCTTCGAAGTTCTGCTGCATCTTCTCCTTCTCCACCTTAAATTTAACCTCGAAGCCCTCATCAGCCAGCGGCACGTCGCCAAAATTGCCAACGACCTTCATCGCCTCCGTCCCGTCCTCGAGGTCCTCGGAGTCCGTCCAAACTTCCTCCTTGGGCTTCTCGGCAGACGTCCATGAAGAAGACGAGTCGCTCGTACAGCTTGATGTTGTTGCGCTGCTGCGCGGGTGCGGGCAGCGCACGGGACCCACGTCCACAGTCGCCAGCTCCTTGTGCTCGGCTTTGGCAACCTCCACGTCCGTGAGCGCGTACCCCTTGCCAGTCTTGCCGAAGTGGGCCTTCTCAGGGAACTCCAGTTCCTTCTTCTGGCCCTCCAGGTACTTCCTCGCCTCCTCATCGTCCTCGGAGTCCGTCGTAACGCACCCCTTGGGCACCTCCGGAGACAAACATGATGAGGACGAGTCGCTCCATGTAGTTGCCGTGCGCGCAAGCTCCTCGACCTGGGTCGTCACATTGGAGGCCTTCTCGAGGTTCTTGGTTTCCCCCTTGCCGAACCGAGTGTTCGCCAGGGCCAGCTCGCAAAAGGCCGAGCCCATCTCATTCACCTCAGCGGTGGTGTTGCCTCCAGGGGCACCCTTGAAGTCCTTCTTCACCTGCGTCTCCACCATCGGTTGGGCACCAGGTGCCTGCGAAACCATCTCCTCCAGGTCCTCCTTCACCAGGTTGTACACGGTGGGAGCCGGCGCTGCATCGCCAGCACCACGCCGGCGGCCCCAGGCGCGGCGCCTGGCCTCTGCAGCCGAGGCGGGCGCCGCCTGGGGCCCAGCACCGAAGTCGGCGTGCTGGGCCCAGCCGCGGAAGGCGCGGCTAGCCCCAGAGGGCCGAGCCACCGCGCCCTCGCGGCCAGCCCAAACCATCTCCGTCAGGTGGGGCCTGCCCAGCTTCTCACGCATCTCCACCTCCGCGAGCTCCTCGGAGGGCGGGCGCGGGGCGAACAGCTCAGCGCCAGAGCGGATGGCGGCTGCAACAGCGGCGGCCACCACTTGCCGCCCGCCGCCGCCTTCAGCGGCCCCAGCCGCTGCCGCCTTGACCAGCGGCGCAAGCATCGCTGGGGGGTCGACCGTCGCCATCGCCCGAGCCGCGGCAGGGGGCGCGCACAGCCCGCCTGGCGCCCGAGGCAGGCTTGAGCCAAAATGGCTACGGAGGGGGCGGAGGAGGAGGCGGAGGAGGAGGCGGAGGAGGAGGAGGTGGAGGGAGGAGGGGGAGGAGAAGAGGAGGAGGAGGAGGAGAGACGCGGGGCGCTGTCTCTTCAAAACGAGGACCCAACACCACGGGACGGTTGGGAACTATGCCTGTGCAGTCTGCTGTTTCTCGGATGATCTCGACTTTGCTTCCTTGGCACGAGGGCGGCGGGTCCTGCGGGGGGTGCGCCCTGCACCTCCGGGCCTCCGCCCAAAATCAGCCTCGCGTCCCGCGAGAGCCGTGTTCTGACAGGCTCCTCGGGCCTATAGGGAGGGCCCCGAGAGCCCAAAGACGGTCAAACACCATAGACCGAGACGAAGCCAGGACGAGGAGGTAATTGGGCGAGGGTAAATCGAGAATCTCTGAGGTCCGGCGGTTCTGGAGGATGTCTCGGGCGCCGCGGCCTTCTCAAAGCGTTCCGGAATGCTCTGAGAGCGCACCGGAACGCTCTTGAACGGATTTATCCTCGTCCTAACCCCGTTCGACAGAACCCGCTTCATCCGTTTTGGGAGCATGGCGAATTGAGACAACGGCATCTCAACATCGGTCCCCGGACCCCTCCGAAAGGCCAAACGCACAATTTTTCCGAGCTGCGTCCAGCCGTGGCGATGAGGGCCCCCCCGAAGGCAAACGAACTACCGTTGTCTCAAGTCGCCCTCCTCTGACGTTTGCTTCATCGCGACATCCTCCGCCTTTCGGGCCGGGCGAAAGGAGGGGATAGCAAAGGGGGAGTTTGAGAATCAGCTCACGCAGCTGCTTTTCCCGGCGCCTCCTGGCGCCGGAGGCGGCCATGTATCGAGGAATGGGCCCCTCGTTGGGGCCGAAACCAGCTGCATGCAGCACATTTTGTAACCCCCCCTTTCCCTATCCCCCCTTTTCGTCCAGCCCGACTGGCGACGATGCCGCGCGCGCGGGAGCTGAATCCAAAGGCCGCGCCGAACCCCTGTGCGTGCTATTTACCCTCCCCCTCCTCCTCCTCCTTCTCCTCCTCCTTCTCCTCCTCCTCCTCCTCCTCCTCCTCCTCCTCCTCCTCCCTCCTCCTCCTCCTCCTCCTCCTCCTCCTCCTCCTCCTCCTCCTCCTCCTCCTCCTCCTCCTCTCCTCCTCCTCCTCCTCCTCCTCCTCCAGCTGGCTTCCGCCAGCGGGCTCGCCGCCAGTGTTGCTTCCGCCGCCGCCCGCCACCGAGGCCGCGGGTGCTCCGCAGGCGAGGCCGTGTCTCTGGAGAGCCCCGTGCCTGCAGGGCAGGGCGCAGGCGGCGCCGAGCGACCGAGGGGGGCAGCACTCGGCCCTTTGAGCGAGCAAGGGCACACGAGCGACCGAGGGCGCAGGTGGCGCCGACCGACCGAGGGGGCAGCACTCGGCCTTTGAGCGAGCAAGGGCACACGAGCGCGGGCATGCAGTCAGCCCGCAGAGTAAGGATGCGCGATGAGGATGCAAGGCCCTTGGGCGCCATCTCGAAGCGTTTCGAGCGGGGCGCGGCCAACGAAAGCGTCCAAGGATGGACCTAGGAAGCAAGGATGCTACTGCACCCTTGGGAGAGGGATGCCTATCCTTACTCTGCGGCTCGAGTGTACACTCGCGACGTCGGCGCTGTCTGCAGAGGCGAAGGTGGGTGACGCGACGGTTTGGGGCCCCTCCTGGGCCCCAGACCTGGCCCAGCCCGACGCGCTCCCCCCAGAACGGCCGACCACGGCACCCTCTGCACGGTCCCGGTCGATCGACATTTCGGCGCCAGCACGGCAGGCTCGCGTCGTGACGGACCTGGCGCTGACCTCAGACACCGCGCGGACTCTTCAGCCTCGAACGAGCGACGGTTTGTCTTCGATCGCCGGATCGTTCCAGAGGGGCCGATTCTGGGCCACAGGCCGCGTTCAACCTTGAACTCCCGCGCTGGGGGGTCACCGCCGCGCCGACGCGGCGCGAACCTGCCGTACGTGTCTGCAGTCGGCCCGTACCCTAAGGATGCGCAGTCAGGGTGCAGGGGCCCTGGACGCCACCTTCGAAGCCTCTCGAGCGGGGCGCGGCCGACGGAAGCGGCGAAGGGTGGACCCAGGAGGCAAGGATGCAAGGGTATCCTTGGGAAGGTTGCCCATCCCTCGGTATCGCTCGGACGTCCATTTCCCGTGCATTTTTCGGTCTCGTGCGTGTTTTTTTTGCTCGATGGTCCAGGATGGTCCTCGATGGTCCCCGCCGAGAAAAAATGCACACGTCCGAGCGATGCCAAGATCCTTACCATGCGGGTGGACTGTATGCGCACTCCGCGGCCCTGCGTGCACGAATGACCGCATCCCAAAGAGCAAGCCGGCCGAAGATGGCCGCGTGGGTGGCCTCCGAGGCCCGGCCCCGGGCGCCGCCCCGCGGCGCACGGGAGCGCGCCACGAGGTCGGCCCAAGCGTCAGGCAGGCTTGCACGGTGTGCCCCTCGCCTCATGGTACATTGAGCTCTTCGTCGTCGTCCTGCTCCTCCTCCTCCTCATCCTCCCCCGTTGCCTCTCCCGCGCTCGTCCCGTGACAATTGAGCATGTCGCTCAGGAAATGCATAAATGTGTATATATGTGTATACATAGATGTTTGTATACATATGTGTATATATACATATATGTACATGTACATATATATATATATATATGTATATGTATATATATGTATATGTATGTATATATATATATTCGCATTGGTCTACGACGATGAGGAAGGCACCGTGCAGTGGGCCCACAGTGCACAGGGAACGCAGGGTGCCTGTGATGCTGCTGGAGCACTGCGCGCGCTTCCGAGAACCCCCCCGCCCAAAATTTCGGGGATGAGCGGGGCGCGGATGCCTCCCCCCTCCGCTCTCGTCCCTGAGCTGCCTGGGACCGCTCCCCATCCTCCCCTCGCTCTCCCTCCCACCTCCAGCCCCTTTCTCCGCCTCTTAGGCCGAGAATTTCTCAGATCAGCGCGCGCCGGGGCCGCCGAAGCCTCACCGTGTCAGCTAAGCTAGACGACTTGCGAGAAGGCAGAGAGCGCCACTCTGGTGGGAGCAGGCACTAAACAGTTTGCAGCTCAGTTCGACCCTGGACGGCCCGACATCGCGGGCTGCCCCTGGCAGGAGGTTGGGTGGCGTCGCAGGAGCGCCGTGCAGTCCTCGCTACCTGTCTCCCCTCATCCTCCGCCTCGCTGACCTTTCTCCCCATCCACGCCCGGCCCCCGGGCCGCACCGTTCTGCGCCCGACAGGGCCGGGTCCCTCGCCTGTTGTGGCAACGCGTGAGACGGTTTGAATATTAGACTCCCTCGGAGCCGCTGGCGCGCGCCCTGAGCCCGCCGAAAGGGCGGGCGCGGGCGGGGGCCAGGCTCAGATGAAGAGCATCGCCGGCCGCATCCCCATGCTGTGGAAGGCCGGGCCGCACTGCGACATCGAACTCATCAGCATCGCCGGCCTCTGCGGCAGCGGCCTGCTGGCGACCGCCATGGTCGCGGCGGGCGGCGTCGGGGCCTGGCAGGCCGGCGCTGGCTCTGCTGGGGGATCCGCATCCCTCTTCATGCCCTCGAGCAGCCTCTGGAGCTCCCCGTCCGCGCTGGCCTTGATCAAGACCTCCGCCGCCTGCTCCCGCAACTCCGACGTCCGGCGCTCTCTCTCGAGGTCCGCCTGGGCGACTGCCGCGGCGGGCGGCGGGGGCGCAGACTGCTGCTCCGGCGGTGCCACAGGCGCGACGGGCGCCGTGGCGTCGCCGCTGCGCAGGACCCTGCAGAGAAAGTCCGTCGGGTCGGCGGGCTGCTCCTTCAGGAGCGCCTTCACCGCCTCCGACAGCCGCTCCTCGATGTTGTGCTTCGACAAGTAGTCGTTGGCCTGGCTCTTGAGGGTCTTCATCCGCGCCTCCCTCTGCTTCTTCGCGGAGTCATCGACCTGAGACTGCACGCTGACCTTGAGCCTGGCGCCCTGCCAGCTCGGGTCGGTGCTGGTGACCGCGACGTCGTGTGTGGACTTCGCCTCAGGGTCCGCGACCACGGTGCACGTGCCGACGTGTTGGTAGAGGTCGATCTTCGCGTTGCGTCGCCTGTCGACCTGGGGGAAGTGGTAGCACCTCTGCGGCTCGTACCGGCCCTGCTTCAGGGTCTCCCCGACGCGCACGCCCACGTAGCAGCCGCTCGGCATGCTGCAGCCTTCCGCAGCCTCGACCCGCAACTCCATCGCAGCGGCCTGTGCTCGCCGAGCAGGGGGGCCGGCCTTGGCTTCGGGCTCTGCGCGCGGAGAGAGCGACCTCGACAAGCTTGAGCCAAGGTGGCCACGGACCTCTCAGGTGCAGCGATTGGGGGCCGATGCCCTCCCCCCCGGAGCCCATGCCCGCCCCGAGCTGCTCCACCCTCCCTCGAAGACGAAGCCAGGACGAGGATGCAATCGGGTGAGGATGAATCGAGAATCTCTGAGATCCGGCGGTTCTGGAGGATGTCTCGGGCACTGCGGCCTCCTCAGGGCGTTCCGGAGCGCTCTGAGAGCGTCCCAGAACGCTCTCGAACGGACTTATCCTCGTCCCAACCCTGCCCGACCCTCCCCAATCCAGCACCGTGAAGCCCGGAGAATGGGGGACGGGCGTGTGGGGCAGGGAAGATCCTGCAAAGCTCTGCCAGTGCGCCCAGTCTCCAGCACATGGCTTGGACGGGCGTCCAGCGTCGATCCACGAAATCGGTGTGGATCTCCGCCAATTTACGCGCATGTCATGTTCAGTTCCTCGAGCCGAGACAATGTATGTTTATGTCGATGTTGAGCGCCCGGGTTATGCGGGGTAACTGATGGGCGTGTTTTCCACCACCACCACCACCATAAGTTGGAGGGGAGAGGAGGAGGAGGACGAGGAGAAGGAGGACGAAGAAGAGGAGGAGGAGGACCCCCTCCCCCTCCAACTTATGGTGGTGGTGGTGGTGGAAAACAGGCCAATCAGTAACTCTGTCCCAACGTATCTGCAATTGGGGCCCCCGTCGCGCGAACGAGGGGCTATCCGTGACCACCCGCAGCCCTGATGATTCAGGACTGGTTGACGCACGAGGTGTTCGTGATAACTCGGGCAGAGGTATATTGAAGGGGCCCTGGGACACACAAATAAATACACACAAATAAAAATATTCCCTATATTTTCTCATATTTTCTGGGTTTTTGTCTTCCCCCCCACTTCCCATATTTTCCTATATTTTCTGGGAGTCGACGATTCATTGTGTCTGTGTGTTTTTTTCCCTCCTGAGGTATATGTAGTTCGTTTGGGCCCCCAATGCACGAATCAGGAACTGTCCCTGACTACCCCAGACCACCCAGCCCCGATGATTCGGGAGTGGTGGAACGCCCGAACTGTCCTGGATAACTCCGGTCCAGGGTAACCGAGAGGCGTTTTTAGAACCCCCACGAAGGTATACTTAATCATGTCCGGCGGCCTAATTCACGGATTACTGTTCCAACACTGGGGGGGATATATTTTTTTTCCCCCGCGGCACCCGCCGCGCGACAGCGACGCTGACAGCTACGAATACAAATGCGACTACGACTACGACGACACGACGACTACTAGCCATTATGCCTCAGGGGCGCTCTCATGGAAAATCGTGGCTCAGAGACTTGGCGCCAGAAAGTTTAGTCGGCGAAGGAAACGTCGATCTACAGATTGCAATATTTTTTTATGAACGTGCTCTACATTCCTCTGTCGTGCAGGGTTGCCCAGAGAGCATTCTTCCCTGGAAAAAAGAACCCCCCAACATTATCTAGCCCGCCCAACATATCTCCGCCGCGACGAGGAGGTTTTAGGACCAGTCCCATTCACCGTCGATGGAAAGGGGGCTCTAAAACTAAAAACACTCTGAGGTTATCTGCAGCTTAGGCCACCGAAGAGCGAGTTAGCGAATCAGGAACTACCCCTGAACCCCCCAACCCCGATGATTCAGGAATGGCTTTAACGCCCGAGCTATCCGTGATAACTCGCCTTCGCACATGCATCACCTTCCGCACCGTCCGCGGAGGTCGGAAGGATATGGACCGGAGGGTGGAGGGGTAAGGTCCCGAACCACCTACCAGCCCTGATGCATCAGAGCACGTCGAGGTCATGACGAACTACGACTGCCCAGCATCCCCATCATGCCGTCGTCGGCCAGGGAACGCCACGCGAAGGACAGCGAGGCAAGGTCGCAAGCATCCAGCACGGCGTGCCCTAGGTGGGGTGGTGTCGTGTGTCTTTCGATCATGACGACTCGGGGCTCTGACAGTACGAAGCTCTCGGGGAGGCGCCGACCTCCACTCCCAGTGGCTCCCAGGGCCTGGGCCGACGGAGGGCGGGGAGGGGGGATCGGCCCAACGTGGCTCCCGGGCTGGAGTCGTCCAGAGGGGGGCAGAATCTCGTCGACCCCGTCGGCGTGTGTGAAAGGCTATTCCGTTTGAGTCGTCGTCGTCGTCGCCGCTCCCTTCACTTGACACTTTTCCATTTTCGTCGTCGTCGTCGTCGTCGTCGTCGTCGTCGTCGTCGTCCACCTTCAGGGTCGGCGCCACCAGCTGTAAAAGGCCGTCGCAATTCCCCAGCAGAACACCCCAGTGGCAACAGAAGTGAAGAGGCGGGTCGAGGAGTCGGAGGTCGGCCATTCAAAACGTGCACTCCTAGGTATCCCAGGGATTCGTAGGAAAACCACGGTCCTGTACGCCACACTGGATTGGTTTCGAGAGAACGTGGCCGTCTGGACCACACATGTAGCTGGCATTGATGCGAGAGCACGACTCCGAAACGATGTTCGAGCAGGTCTCAAGCGAAACGGCTACCGGAGAGGGCGGTCTGGGGCTCCCTGTGCCGCCTGCGGGGCGCCTCCGTGGTCCTGCTTTAACCCTGCTCGAAGCCCCGGCGAAACGAGGGAACAACTGTGATAAACAACCCCGCGCAGGCTTTGTTTGTCACGCCCGGTTCGTTGTATCTGTGCTGCGGTGAGAACACCAGATAAGGAAACGTTGGATAAGGAGTTCAAGGTCTGGAAGCCGGTGGAACTGAAAGTGTGAATTGGCCATGGGTTTCATCCCCGCTCTCACTATGCACGGAATGCTCCAAGGTCTGAAGCCTCCTGGGCACGTTCCTTAACGAATGGGACGCGAAAGGACCTGCTAGTACTACGTGTCCTCCTTGGAGGCGTGCGTCCGACCCTAACATCTGGTACATCCATCCTGTACAGTAGATCGTTTCCCGAGCGTTTCTCGGCGCGCGCGCGCCGCCATCTTCGGGGGCGACGCACACACAGTATTGGCATGTTCGGGCGGCGTCGAACGAACGCCGCCAGTGCTCACCCACCGCACCCACCGCTGCGTGAGCCCCGAAATTCGCGAGCCCTGGGGGGGGCAGCCCCGCCCGCCTTCGCCGTCCGCGGCCCGGTCCCAGGACTTCGGAGCATCCTCGGCGCGCGTCACGCGGCGCGCGCCGGCCCAGCGCGGCCCCCCAGACCACCTCGCTCCGCCTCGCTCCCCCTCCTTCGCTCCTCCTTCGCTCCTCCTTCGCTCCTCCTTCGCTTCTCCTTCGCTCCTCCTCCTCCTCCTCCTCCTCCTCCTCCTCCTCGTCCTCGTCCTCCTCCTCCTCCTCCTCCTCCTCCTCCTCCTCCTCCTCCTCCTCCTCCTCCTCCTCGTGAATGAAGCACCTCCGGGGCATGAAATGCAAGCAGTATTTCGGCCAGGAACCCCAGGGAACCCTGGAGAGGAAGGCCCAGGACCTCTTCAAGGAGCTCAACCTCGATCTGGGTGACGGAGGAGTAGGCGTGATGTGCGTCTGGTGACCATGGTGCCTCGGCTGTGCTCGCCGCTCCCCTTGGCGTGCTTGGCCGGGCAGGCTCGGTCGGGGCCACTCCCCTAGGCCTGGGGCCACCACCTTCAGAAATTCGGGCAACGACCCGATCGCTCTGCCTGACTCCGGGCGCATGGAGTCCATGCGCAGTTCCGCCGCGCCGCCGCCTCCGCCTCCTGCTCTTCCTTCTCCTCCTCCTCCTCCTCCTCCTCCTCCTCCTCCTCCTTCTCTTTCCTTCTCCTCGCTCGTTCTGCCCGCCCGCGACGAGAGCCGGCCCGCTTAGGCGGAGCGAGAGCGGGGGCCCAGGGCGCCGGAACGCCGCTCGGCGTTCTCTACGCAAACAAACGCAGGGCCCCGTTCTCCAGCAGCTGCTCGGGCCCTGGTCGGGGAGACGTAATACTCGGGTACGGGTTGCTCGGGTTGGCCTGACGGGGTCACCATAAAAATGACGAGATCCAATCTGAAATTTGGCGCGAACTCCCGCTGCAAACGTCCCACGAAAACTGGACCGTCAAAATCCAGGAGGCGATCGTCAAAAAACGTCGGCAACCTCGAGTTCCGGCTTACTCGAGTCTTACATTTCCCCGACCTGGGTGAGCGACAGAAGAGCTCATCGTTCAGCGGACTAGACATGATCGCAAGCAGCTGGGGGGCGGGAGTGGGTGGGGCGCCGTTGGTGAGTGGGGCACGTCGCTACAAGCAGGAACTTGGAGCTGTAACGTTTCGTTGCCCTGGGGACATAAGAGCATTTGAAAGGGCGCACGGAGCCTCCCTCAATTGCCCGTCGCACGCCGGAACAACACCCGCCACCACATGAATGGCGCGAGATCGTGGTATCGCAGTTGATTGTGTCGCTCGGACATCAGAACATACCACGTGGGAACACTTACGAAACTGTTTTGACGGGTTCCATTAACCCATCAGCCGGCTTGGACGTGCTCAAATAAGTTACTCTCGTAACACGTCCACTGGACCCTGTTCAAACACACTCAGTATAGATCATTGAAATATCTTCTGATCCCGATCATTGCCTGGGGCATATCCTAAGATGTCATTGCGTCGCCACCTCATGGCCAAACAATGTCAAAATACCCCATGCTGGAACAGGCTATGCAAGAGCGGCTCTGGGTTAACAGGTTACCGGCCACAACGGAGGTACAGATCAGAGCTGGATGTATGTAGATTACGCTCTAGTTGGGCTTGGCCCAGCTCCGACATATAATGGCGACCGAGGCCATTCTACGGGTACGCATATTCATCCCAATAATGCACGCATTCGGGAGATACTCTCGATCCGAACCATCAAAATATGCATGCGGGTATTTCTCACCGCCGGCCATGAGGTCCTGCCCCAGAATGCCCTGTGTGCTGGACTTTCTGGTCGCAGCCCAGAAGGTGCAGTCGAAATGCGGCCACAAAATCGCACGGCACGACTATGCGCCCCTTCACGGCACCACGGAGATGCCCGACATGAAGTGCATTCCAAAGTGGAGAGCCCAAACTCGAAGAACACGAGGGTACACCTTTCAAGTTACGCCTCTTCGTAAGCCCCGCGCCAGCTGTACTGCCATTAGTGGCCCTTTGAGCTCGGATCGTCTGGTCGCCGCCCACGGGGTGCTGCCCACAGGGCCCCGCCCTTGACTGGCCTGCATGCTGGATTTTCCCGCCGTCGCCCACAGGGTCCCACCCTCAGTCACCAGACATGCTGGCGTCGTAACACACAAATCGCCGGGCCCTGGGAGCGCCAAGAAACGGCTTGGGATGCAACACCAGGCCTCGGGAAATAGTTGGGACTTCCAGGGGCCCTGTGTTGCAAAAACAAACATATCGCATGTCTGGGCCTCTGCTGGATTCGGAAGTCACAGCAGACACCCGTACGATCCCAACCTTTCGTTGCTCTGCGGATTGGGTTTTCAGATCGTCGCCCCTGGTTCCCGCCCTGGTCGGTTTCGGAAGCCTTGAATCCCAACACCTTGTCATACCTTGGGGGCGCTTGACTTCCACCGCCTGCCGTCAGCCTTCTTCACGCTTCTGCCGGCGGAGACGCCCTCGTGTTACTTCCGCCGTCTTTTGCTGCTCCTCCGCCGCCTTCTGCCGAAGGTATTCCAACTTCTTCGACCCTCGAAGGCGGAGCGCTTTCTGGAGCGCCCCAGATGATGCCAGCCTTAGCGGTACCTGTTCAACGGGTGTCCTGGTGCCACGTAGGATCTAGTACATAGGGCCCCGCCCTCAGCTGCCTTTTTGGGGTGGCTTCGAGGTGGCCCACAAGCTCCCCAACTCAGCTATCCGTGTGTTGGGCTTCGTGGTGGCCTGGCCCATAGAACCCCACCCATAGCGGCCTGGGACGTGCAGATGTCGCTGCGTTCGTCCACACGTTCTTTTCTCTCTGCAGCGAAAGACCGAGCACAATTTGGTGCCCAACGGCTGCGTGAAACTGTTCTCTCGCAACGCTTCGCGCGAAGCGTTACCGATCGGACCCCACTGTTCGAGCTAAGCGGCTGCGGATCGCCTGCTCGCGGCGTCCGCCTCACTACCTCTCACTGCAAGCGCTGGATACGCGGCAACTCTCGACGATGATGAGGACGAGGAGGGTGAGGATGCAGATGATGAGTTATGACGACGAAAGCGACGATGATGATGCTGATGATGATGATGATGATGACGGTGCTGACTCGATGATGATGCTGATGTTGCTGATGATGATGCTGCTGCTGATGATGATCCTCATGGTGTTGATGGTGGTGGCGATGATGATGCTGACGATGACGATGACGATGGTGGTGATGGTGATGATGGTGGTGATGATGACGGTGATGATGATGATGATGATAATGATGATGATGATGATGATGATGATGATGATGATGATGATGATGATGATGGTGATGACGATGATGAAGATGCTGCTAAGGATGATGATGATGATAATGATGATGATGATGATGATGATGATGATGATGATGCTGCTGCTGATGATGATGATGATTATATTGACGATGGCGATGCTGATGCTCATGATGATGATGACGACGATGATGCCGATAATGATGATGTTTCAGCTGCTGCTGCTGATGATGATGATGATGCTGATGGTGATGCTGCTGATTGATGATGGTGATGCTGATGATACTGATAGTTGCTGGTGCATGATGAGGATGAATATTGTTGCTGGACTTGTGCTGCTGCGCATGTCTCGGCGCAACCTGACAGAACAATGATCGGCCCAGCCTCAGGTCTGCGAGCCTGGCTCCGGGTCCGCCTCTCGATCAACAATTTTTCGCAGCACGGAAACGACCAGAAACCTCAGAACCATAGCCCCAGACCCCACCTTTCTGCTGCCCTTTTCGGGCTGGATCGATCTGTGAGGGTCGCGGCCAGGGTAGACTTTCGGCAGACTCTGTCATATCACTTCTGGCTTACAGCGCGCGCCGCTATGAGGCGCTGCTGCTTGTTCGAGCTTCATGCGTTCTCCACGCAGCGCGCTTTTTGTTTCCACCCGTGCCGGTCGCGGGCTTGGTCCATTTATGTGCGTTCTCTGTTGGGGAGCGCTCCTCTATGACAGCACAGGCGCGTGAGTGACATGTCAGGGTCCTCGGACAAAAACTGAGACCCAGGATCTCCGGGATTCCTGGCGGGTGAGAGGGCCGAGCCTGCTGTCGCTGGGCGCGGGCGCCGCGGCGCCGCGCTCCTCGAGCGGCTCGGGGCCGTCCCGCCGGCACGCCTCGCAGTGGTCGCTCAGCAGGGCCACGTCCTCGGCCTCGCAGAGGAACTCGAGGGGGGAGACGTCCTCTCTCGCCGCTGGGGGCAGGGGGGGGGCAAGGAGGAGGAGGTGCGGCGGTTGCAGGCGGGAGGGGGGCCAAGCTGGGGGGCGGGGGGTGGGCGGGGAGGGTGGGCGCGAGGGCGGCCGAGCCCGCGGGGTGAAGGCGCCCTCTCGCCGCGGGGTGCCAAGGGGGGGGCACGGTGGCTGCGGGCAGGAGGAGGGTAAGCGGGGGGGCGGGGCGGGGTGGGCGGGAGGGCGGGTGAGAAATGAGGCCGAGGAGGGAGACGTCCTCTCGCCGCGGGGGTGGGGGGGCAAGGAGGGGGCGGGAGGGCGGCTGAGCCCGAGGGGGGTCTACATGGCGGGGGGAGGGAGGCGAATCCTCGAGGTTCGAGAATTTCGGGTGTCTTCGTTGGTTCTCGGCGGCCTACCAGCCTCGGGATGCCTTCCAGCGGCTGCGCCTCGCCGAGAGAGTTCTGGGGCTGCCCGAATCGTTCCCGACGGCCGCAGAAGAGCCGGGCTATGGTTCGAAAACCATGGGGCAACGCTCGGGGTGGATAGGTTCAGGGGGGTCGGCTGGTGGGAGGGCGGGGAATCAGTGCGGACAGAGGACACAGTGAACGAGTGGACACAAGGGACGGGATGGGGGGAAAGGGGGGGGAAGCGCGAGGAGGGGGCAGAGGAGATAGGAGCACAGAGGAGTGAGGCTTGGAGGAGGGGAGGGGAAGGGGGGAGGGGGAGGACCAGGGGGGAGAGAGGGAGGCGTGAAGGAGCGGGAGGCGCGCCGGTGAGAGCGGGCTGGGAGGTGCGGTGTCGATTGTGCCGACGATGCCGTTGTCGAGCGAGCAGGCGTCGTGCGCGGCCGTGCCGATGGTGCGCACGCATTATGGGCGGGCTCTCCGGCAGCGGCAAGTCCCGGTGTTGGCGCCTGCCTCTCTCTCTCGCGTGCCCAGAATCGCGACCCTGGAGCTCGGAGCAGGGCGAGTCGAGACAGCGGCAACTCAAAGCCAGCCCCCAGACTCCAGACTCCTCCCAGGGTCCAAACGCACGCGGGCCCACCGCCATGCTCCTTCCGCCGCCGCCTTCCGCTAGCCTTCCAACGAGGCCGAGAGGATGAGCCGTAGGTGATGCCGTGTTTCTGAAGCGCCTCGCGTGGAGCCTTCGTCCGTGCTCGATTAGGACGCCGGTCGCGCGGACGCTTGAGGCCTGAGCTGGATCAAATCGCGAAATTGGATCGGATCGGGAACGGATCGGATCGCCCCCTCCGAGGAGCAGCGCGCGTGAAAATGTGCATGGCCAGCACAATCGTGTGGGGGTGGCCCTGCGGACAGCAAAGGAGAGCGCAGATGCGCCAGGCCGGTCTTCGCGGGGCCGGAGCGCGCTGCTTGCAGATGGTCAGCCCCATAGCGTCCCCACGATGGGCCGAGCAGGGGCGCCAGACGTGGTAACTTCTGGATGCTGCTGCGAAGGCGAAGCCAGGACGGGGCCACACACGCGCGCGGACCGGGGCAAATCGAAGATCTCAGAGACGCGGTGGTCCTGGAGGACTTCGGGCGCTGCGGCCATTCCAGAGCATCCCAGAACGCCGTGAGAGGGTTCTGGGGCGCTCTGGGCCGATCTATCTCGGTCCTGGCCCCCCCGACGCCTGCCACTGAAGATGGCTGGGTGCTCCAGGCTCCGTCCGGGCGCCCCTGGGATCGGCGCTCCCACCTCGGGGTCAAGAGGGGGCGACGGGGCGGGGACTGCATGGACCCGGGAGGAACACGCTCGCCTGGAATCGGCACTGCAGCGCCGACAGATCGGCGAGAGGCCTCTCGTGGCGAATCCGCGCCTTCCTTGGCGGGGTGGGCCATCCAGACCCCATCGGCGACGAGTGGGCGATCTGAGGCCCCCGCAGTCGCGCGGCAATCGGCATCCTCGGAGGCCCAAGAGGAGGAGGAGGCACCAGGGCAGGCCGCCACTGCACTCTGGCGGCTTAATTCTTTCTGAGGCCTCCGCGAGCCTGCGGGCGAACCGCTCCCGACCCAGACCTCTGGAGGGCCGCGCGGCGCAGTGCGCTTCCCTCCCCCCCGCCTTCTCCTCCCCCCCTGCGAGGGGGACTCGCGTTGGCCTCGGGCTCCTGAGCCCCCCCCCCTCCTCGTCGAGGGAGGGCGAGGGGCGAGAGCGAGGAGAGAGGAGGTGGCGGAGGAGGGATAAGGGCAGGGCGAGGAGGAGGAGGAGGAGGAGGAGGGCGAGGAGGGAGGCGAGAGGGAAGGCGAGGAGGGGGCAGGGCGAGGGGCGAGAACGAGGCGAGAACGAGGCGGGATGATGATGATGATGATGATGATGATGATGATGATGATGATGATGATGATGATGATGATGATGATGATGATGATGATGCTGATGCTGATGATGATGATGATGATGATGATGATGATGATGATGATGATGCTGATGATGATGATGCTCATGATGATGATGCTGATGAAGTCTTATGGGATGTTGGCAATGGCGTTCTTCGGGCTAGCAAAGATGGCCCTGAGCTGCTTGAGCGCCTGTCTCTACATCTGCCGACTGCCATCCACGTGGCCTTGCTGCCTTGCTGCGTTTCGTCATCCTATATTTGTGCTGGCGCGCATCGAAAATGGAAGACATCCACCACCGCACGTCCGAGCTTCTCGCAATCGCTCGGGCCGAGCGTCACCCAATGAATGCAATGCGCGCACTTGCAGAATAGGGGGCCTCGTCTCCGACCTTGCACACCGAAAATCCGATCCGCATGTGCTTTAATAGCCGGCACACACGACAAGACATGGTGCCATAATACATCTAGGGGCACGTTCGTCGTTGAGCCTTGAGCTTCCTGAGGTGTTCCACCCAGGGCTTGTACGGCCCCCCCAGGGCCATCGGAGGGATAAGAAACCTCCGTTGGGCACCTGCTGGCATGCCAGTACCTTATTTGATTTGTCTACTGGTGACTCTAGCCAGTGGCAGACCGGCCCTTGCAAAGCGACGGGGGATTCATCCTATGGTGCTAGATACCTCCTTGTATTGATTTTTTTGACGTCCTTATACTGCTGGCGTGTCCTAGGAGGATCGGTGAGAAGCTGTCCGAGCTTCAAATCATGCGCCTGCCCTGGCATCGGTCTGGTCAATCGTCAAGCAAGCTGAGTCTTCCAGAATTTTTTACGCTCCTATGCCGTAATCCATATCATCGCTATTCGTGGGACCATGGAGCTCTTGGACGGGTTGGCGAACCTCGGGTGAAGGCTCGGGAGTGGCGGCTTCCCTCCTCCCGACTCGATGCTTGAGGGGGCCCAGCAGGAAAGCACTCGAGGGGCGAGATCCGAGCCGACGGCGGGCTACGAAACGACTAAGTCAAAGGTGCCCAGTGTGTTTGGTCTTCCTCGCGGGCGCTCTCAGGCACCTGCTGCTCTTCCTCGTCGTCTTGCTATTCTCGGGGGAAGGCCACTCGAGACGATATACGGCGGCTCCCACTCCGGGCCCAACCAAACTCAGAATCAGTCCCTAGACCCCTCCAAGGGTCCATCCGGATCCGCCTTCCGAGGCGGATCCGGGCGTGACGACGAGAGGCCTCAAAGAGGACCAAGAAGGACGAAACACGTCAGGGAGGCCCGCCTCGACTGGCCCTCCTCCCAGAAACCCGACCGGCCCCGGCGCCTG